CCCCAAAACCCCAAAACCCCAAAACCCCAAAACCCCACTTATATATCTGAAAATTGAAACTAGCCAATTAAATCACTTCTTTCTCTGCAATTTCTTTTAAGGGTAAACCTTCTAGCGGAAGTTCTGGATTCGATTGAGAACTCTGGTTTGTAGATGCTGATGCATTCTTAGCTATGCTTTCCCAATTTGAGAAAAGTACTAACAAAATGAAGCCAATATTAGTGAGCCCAGGTCCTATAGGTGCAGCAAACCAAAGACCTTTAAAGCCATATCCAAGCTCAAAAGCAAAGATGTATGCAAGAGGGAAATAAATGATCCACATTGAGATAAATTGGATGATTGAGGCAAAGTGCTGATATCCTATAGTCCTCAAAATTCCTCCTCCTAATCCTTGTCCAGCATCAGAAAAGATAGCTAATATATAGCAAGGAAATGAACAAAACACTAGATCTGTGACGCTACGATCTGATGAAAATTGTCCAATAGCTGTTCTCCTAATTAAATAATACACAAAGAGAATGCAAGCTGTAATTAAGAGTCCGAAGAGTAAAGTCGAGTATGCATAAGCCTTCGCTGATCTTGGTCTGTTACCTCCTAATGAATTTCCAATGAAACCTGTAGAAGAATATGTGATTCCAACTGTGTTCATGCATATCAAAATCCATATTTGGAACATGATAATATTTGCCGCCTGCTCTTCTGTTCCTATCCATCCAGAGAAGAGAGTCATCATATCATATCTAAATGGTTAATTTCAAGATCCTTACCCAAGTATCTCAAATATGAGCATTAAAGCAGCTGGAATTCCGTATTTCAAAAATTCAGGAATTCTCTGAAATCCTTCTTGGTCTAGAAAGAACCATTTATCTGAAATCACTTGCTTCTTCTTACTGTTGATATATACAGAAGTTGCAATAAAATTAAGTGTAAAAGTAACTGCAGTTATAATACCAACGCCTAGGTTTAAAGTAAAATTTAAGCTTACCAGATATGCCCCATCCAAGATGTAATACGAAGATGTAGAGACCACAGATATGAAAGAGAGTTGTTCCAATCATTGTGCATAAAACTGGGGGAAATTCTCCTTGAGAAACCATAAATCTTCTATTAGCTTCAAATTGCATGTTTAAGAAAGCTCCAAACAATGTAGCATGCACATATTTCTGGGCAATCTCTGCGGATTCCTTAGGTTGATTGAAAAATTTCAAGAGACTGTTGGAGTTGAGTAAAATTATTGCTTGTGGAATAAATAGCAAAGTAAAGAGTATCCTTGAAGTGTTTAGATATGTTCCACACAACTTGTAGTCCTTCCTACCATATGCTTGTGATACCAATGTGTCTATCGCTCCACATAGCCCCATGTCCCATGTGAATATTACATTAGTGATCAGGAAGACTCCAAGGCCTCAACCAGAGACTAGAGCTGGGTCATCAAGCATGCTGATAAACAATACATTTAGGAAAGTGACTGCGAATTCAATATACATTGTAAGAGTGCTCGGAATATAATTATTCATAATATCTCACAGAGCTTGATTCACTGTTATATTATCATCAACTTCTTCACGATCATTCTTACTCATTATCTCAAAACTCTGGATTAAAGAATTCTCAGCGCCTAAAACTTGTAATGTCTTTAGATTACTTAATCTAGATGCCATATCTTCAATTTTTATACCTTCAACCCTCAGTTTTTATATTGGGGTTTTGGGGTTTTGGGGTTTTGGGGTTTTGGGG